ACCTCCGAGAGGCGGCGCGGGGGGGTCGGCGCCTCCGACCGGCGTGGTCTGCAAAGGGCGTGGCTTGCACTCTGCACTCTGGGAGGGGGGCGGGCGAGGAGCTCCACAGAGATCTCCGCCGCAGCGCAGTGGCCCCCCAAGCCCCAACGGCGCCGATCGCAAACCACACCCCGGCGTAACCACACTTACTGCAGTCGCCGCCGAACCTCCGAGATAACGAACGAACAACACACACACACACACACCCAGACCCATAGGGGGGACGGAGGGGGGCTATGCGTGCGTGTTGTCGAATGATGACCCCCGCTCGAACGGGAGCCCCACCCAGGGCCCGACAACCCTCACCCACACACAACGCCTGTTCTTCTCCTTCCGACCCCCCTATGGGCATTGGTGTGCGAAATATGGGAGAATCAAAAGGTACCGATAGCGCTACTCCCCGGGCCTCTCCCGGGGCTCGTTCTGACCAGAATTTCGAGGAGAATCCAGCGGTGGCGACGAGGGCCTTCCAAGAGGCCCAAGAAGGGGAAACCAGGGAAGGGTAGCGGCATGGGTACCTTTTCCTCCTCGGAAGCTAGCCGTGCGCCACAAGAGGCGGCGCGGGGCGTCCTGCAGTGCCGGTCCATCGCCCTCCCGGTGCGCCGCCCACAGGCGGGCCAGGCTCGCCTGCAGCACCTGCGCGCGGCACTGCGTATTTTTTTTTGTTGGGGGGGGGGGCGGCGGTCGGCCGGCAGGTCGGCCCCGAGGGCGGCCCCGGCAGCGAGGCGAAGCCAAAACCAGGACAGATGGCGAGTGGGAACGGCTGCAAGAATCGATGAACCCAGAAATTGATTTGTTCGACGAGTCTACAAAGGAATACGTAGACTGTTCACGAATGTACGAACATGATACACGTGTCTTGTAGATTCGACGGCAAATAGGTTTGGGTTATACATTATGTAGTCGATATTTCTTTCCTACAAAAGACCTCGGAACAAATGGCTCCACATTGTGAGACCTAAGACCACCGGGCAAGCCAGGAACGTCACACGAGATTTCGCAAAGAGCGTACGCGGTATATGAGGAAGCAAGGAAAGCAAGGAAAACAGCGCACGACAAGCAAGAGGCAGCGCAGAAGCACAAAGCACGGAAACGAAAGACGAAGAGAGAAAGAGAGGGCAAGAAAGAAGGTAGGGACCAAAGCAGAGCGCGGGCGGGGCAAGACTGCCTGCACCACAGAACAGATCCGAGCTAAGCGCCCAGTAGCGATAAAGAAAAGGCGAGAAAACTCGTGGGCGCGGAGGTCTACAGCGACGCTCGCACCAGTATCCCGCACGAGCAGAGAACAGAGCAGAGGGAGAGCGGAGGAGGGAAGAAGGCGAGCAGCAGCGCGAAATTGACAAGCCAAGCGAATCAAGTCCGATGGTCTTCCCAGCGTGGCCATGCCACGCCATGCTCGGACTCCAGGGCGGAGGGCGGGCGAACCCAACACAGTGGCTGAGGTTTGCCGCCAGCGGCCGTGCAGGAGTCCGGCACCTGCACACGGTGGGCCCCAGCCTGTCAATCCTGCTACACATCGCGCAGCAGAAAACAAGAGAAGGGGGAGGGGGGAAGGAACGGAAAAAGGAAGCGAGGAGGAGGGAAGCGGAGAGGGGGAGGAAGGAAGCGGAGAGGGGGAGGAAGGAAGCGGGGAGGGCCGATCTCCGACTCGATCTCCCACTCGAAGATCGGCCGACTGATCTCCGATAGATCTCCGATAGATCTGCGCACGCGTCGGGGCACGGTCACGTCCTGGAACGCACCGCGCACGAAACCCCCATGCTGCACCGACCGCTCTGTAGACCAGGCGTCGTCGGGAGTCCGCTCGGAGCCCCTCTGGGCCTTTTTGTTCTCCCATGCCCCCCCTCCGCGCCCATGCCGGATAACGGGTGCCCCCGATAGATCGGCCGATGTATTGAGAGAGCAGAAAAAGCCACCCCCAGAATACAGACCCTGGCAAGCGAAGCCGCCCAGCAAACGCACCCAAGGAACCAGGGAAGGAATACAATAAGACAGGGCTGCCTCGAAAACGGCCAGCACAGTTCAGCGAACGCCAATTATGGGGGTCGGGTAGTTTTCCTCCCTTGAAGATCGGCGATAAGCCCCCGACGACATATCTGGGCAGGATGGGCTATCGGCTTTTGTCGGCGATCAATGGGCGATTGGGGGTGAATGTGTCCCCCCCTGAGCCCATCCCCCCCCTACCGTTGCCCCTAAAGGACCGAAACAAAATCGGACCAGGACAAATCAGGCACCTCTGAGATCCGGCGGTTCTGGAGGGTGTATCGGGCGCCGCGGCCTGCTCAGAGCGTTCCGGAACGCTCTGAGAGCGTCCTGGAACGCTGAGGAACGATTTATCCCTGTCCTAGTCCCGCGCGACTTACGGCGGGATCGTGCTGCCATTGGAAACGCTGGATGAGGAACGCAGGACCTTTCTGGCAACGGCGAGCCTCGGTTTCGAACAAGTTCCCCGACCTGGGTCTAGGGAACCGCCCGAATACCAGAGCCCGTCCTGAGCCCAAAGTGGTCCTTACTTCAGCATCTTGGCTGTGCGGACAGTTCGTGCCGTCGCGGCTTGCGTTCTGACTCCTGGCACGACGGGGATCGCGCAACCGTTAGCCATCGGCGGCTGTCCGATAGCGCAGACCGCTCGATGTCGGCCGGTCCCCGGCCACTCGCAGCGTTCAACCATGAAGGCCCGCGACTGGGTTCGCACATCATTGTTAGAGAGCCGTCGTTGCCTCCATGATGACCCAGGTGTTTTTCAACTTCGGTGACTAATGCGCGAAAGCCACTTGTTCCCAACGACCTTGCACGTATTCGTTGCAGACGAATGTTTGTTTCCATTGGTCTAGGTATGCTTGCTCACCATAACTGCTTCACACATTCACTGCTACACTGGTATCCAGGCATGCTTGCTCAGCGAGGCTGCTTATCGCTGTGACTTGATGAATTTGCACGCCCCATGTGAGTCCTCTCGTCCTCTGGCCCAGGCGGGTCCCAGGTGAGCTCCACGGCAGCCCAAGACGGCCCCAAGACGGCCCAGACGGCCCCCCGTGCGAGCACCTCCTGGGAACAGAAGCGAGAGCTCTCACGTGGCACGGCCTTCGGTGCTCGCAGCGCCGCGCCGACGAAGGCTGCGCTGGCACGGCGGCGGCACCTGGGTGCCGTCCGGGCGCCTCCCGGGCGCCGCCCGGGCGCCCGAAGGACTCGCGGCAAGGACTCCCGCAGGACTCCTCCGGAAGGTTCCTGGGGCCCCCTGCCACGGGCAGGTGGGCCCGACTCTCAACAGCCGTGATCTCAGAACTCCCGCGATCGAAAGGACTATCAAGCCTGCTCGGATGCTGATGTGTTTTGTGTGCCAAGCGCAGGTAGCTTTCGCCCTCCAGGGGCTCTTCAGCCGAAATGGCACTGCACAGAAGCATCGGATGAAAGGTCGCTCGCATGTACAGTTTTCTAAAAAATCCAGGCCCTACCCTCCCTGCCACTGCCTGGTTTGCCTCGTTTGCCACAGGCAGGTGGGCCCGACTCTCAACAACCGTGACTAGGGGGAAAACAAACCTACCTCGCTTTTGACCACCCTCGCTTCCAAGAGATACCAAGGGATGCCAAACTGCGGCCAGTGCTGGTCAGGCCGCTTGACGAGGAGGCGCGTGGTATGACTTGGTTTTTACTGGAAGCGAAAGCGGGGTAGGTAATTCACGCTCTGAGTGACCTCAGAACTCACCTTTCCTCGCTCCCGCGTGCTCGGATCGGATTGGCTACTACTTGGCGTGCCGTTGGTCGTGCGGAAGCTCCACTGACAAGGCGCCCTGGGAGCATCCCCAGGCCTTGTATGAGAATTGGCCTGTCTTGCCCAAGGTCGGAATCAGCTGAAACGTAGCACTATTGCAATGGGTTGGACTGGGAATGACGTGAAAGAAATTCGCAATTGTAATTGGCCCGCTGTGCGAAAATATGAGAAACTGATGCTCACCCGACCTCCTTACACCCGATCCCCTTACCCCTACCTCATTTATCGGCAGTAAGCGAGTCTACTGTGTTTGTAGCCCCAAGTTGCCAATCCACACTCGCGGCGGTCAAACACATGGGTGCGCCTCTCAAAGCCAGTCAAACAATGTATCTGCCAAACAGCAATACGATACACATGATACACACGCGTCATAAGGTGTACACTATGACAAGCCCCAGTGGGATAGACATCTATCTTGCTATGAGGAGCACGTACAGCTGGATCAACGATGTGGACCGAGAACGCTGCCAGACAGGAAGCCTCTTCTGGATCCCGCCATCCCAAGTTACTGAAATATTCGTCCTCATTGGGAAAGATCATGGGGGACTGTCGGGCTGCAGCAGTGGCATGTCAAAGACACGGACACAGACTGGAGGGGAGGATCAAAGACATAGAAGAGAGAAATGCGAGGGGACGAGGGAAGGAACGGATTGGCGAGGGGCGGCAAACACCAGATGCACAGGAGGACGCTGGAGCGACGTGGGAGAGCCGACAAGGAGAGAGAGGGAGAGAGAGAGAGAGAGAGAGAGAACGTGTGCAACAGCACCAGGCCTCCACAAGGCCGTTTGGGGCATGGCTTTGGGTCGACACGGCCTCCCAACCAGGCCCACAGCCAACATCCACCAGGGTCTGGGCCCGGATGGTGTCTGCGGAAGCGTCGTGGTGGATATTTCGCCCACGGAAGGGGCAGCAGCAAAAGGCCCCCTCTTGTTCGACGTTCCACCAGAGCTCCTGGCCCCAGCGGGCCTTCTCGCCTGCGGGCGCCAGGGTCCGAGAACGCCCCACGAACGCCGAGATCGTGAAAAGCCGCACTTGGTGGTGTCTCCGAGACGCTGGGAACACGTGCCCGACTCTGGAAACCCAGGCTCGAGAAGCGTCGCCGTCTCCATCCTGTTTCGGGCCACCGTCCGCGCGGAGCCGCTGCCGCTCTACTTCCGCCGGCTTCCGCCGAGGGCGAAGGGCACCTAAGGCGAGACCGTCCCTGGAGTGCGCCGCGCGGGCGCTAGGACCCTTTTTGGCGGTCGAGGCTGTCTTCCTCGGAGACCCGCAGCAGGCGCGCCCTCTCCCGCAGCATATTGCGCAGGGGCTCAGGCAGCACTTGCCTGCCCTTCCGGTCCAGCGGCCAAGCCGTGTCCGTGGCCGCTGCCAGAGCCTGAGGGGGGAGACCTCCTCTTCCTCCTCCTCCTCCTCTTCCTCCTCCTCCTCCTCCTCCTCCTCCTCCTCCTCCTCCTCCTCCTCCCCCTCCTCCTCCTCCTCATCCTTCTCCTCCTCCCCTTCCTCCTCCTCTTCCTCCTCTTCCTCTTCCTCTTCCTCCTTTTTCTCCTCCCCCTTTTCCTCCTCCTCCTCCTCCTCCTGCGCCTCCTCCTCCTGATTTTCCCATTTCCTCCTCTGGCTCCGATTTGATCCAAAACCATGTTCAGGAACAACATATTCAGCATCATCACCATCCACCAGTACCATGACAATCATACAACAAATCGGCATCACAAATTACCACTTTCCAACTACACCCATAATCATCATCGCCATCATCCTCATCATCGTCTCGTCAATACCCTCCTATACGATCACCATCGTCATCATCCACGTTATCGCCATCATCAACACCACCAAAATCAACGTCAGCAACAACTTAAACACCACCAAGACATCATCATCATCACCATCATCATCATCATGATCACAACGACCATCATATTCGTCAGCACAGTCATCTTCACATGCATCAGCATCCATAAAAACAGCACAATGATCCACATAAACAACATCGTCATCATCGTCACCATATGCATCGTCATCACCATCGCCATCACCAGCTGATTCACCATCGTCAGCATCACCATCAACGTGATCATTACACACATCGTTCTAATTCTCAACACCGACACCGTGACCGCCATGACCATCATCATCATCACACTCACCATCGTCATCATGATCCTGAATGTCATCGCCATCACCATCGTCATCGGCATCATCGCCACCATCCTCCCCGTCGGTTTCCTCCTCCTGAAAATAAGACAACTGGTGTTCTACCCTGCGAACGAAAGCAACTTGAGCCAAACAACTGCGGAAATATGCCCAGACAACGGTTCACAACATGATTCCCCACCACCACCGGCATCTACCCTCCATCGACTGGCAAGCTAGACGTGCGTGGGGGAATATAAATAGCAAAAGCGACTGGGTAACGGATGGGGTCTACGTAAGTAGGTATCTCAAGTAGGAAAAGTCAAAGGCGGAGTACAGAAAGCAAGTCAAGATGCGAGATCCAGAAAACGCGCAACTGGCACAGGTGCTACTGAGATTGGGGCGCACACGCGCGGGGGGCTCCTAACGCCCGATGCAATATTTGCGATGTCGCAACGTGCCGAAGTACGCAGAATGGTTAACAGGTTATGTTGCATACGTAGACGAGCACCTGGGTCCAAAGAGATCCTGCGCTCAAGCCCCTGGCCAAACATCACCCGTGGCGGGAGCTGTCTCGGGTCCCCCGCTAGCGATATGTTAATTGGTACCTCGCATATGAATGAGCATGTCGCCCCTGCTCATGTACTTGGTGAAGCATTTGCAAATTCTCATGGGCTCCTATCTCGATCACTCTGATGTCTCCTCCTCGTGCCTTCCCTGTAAACCAAGGCTGCCAAATCCCGATGCGCCTGACTTGCCCTAGCCTCGCGGGCCCGCAGTGGCAACGGCCGCACTAGCATCACTCTTTAGTGAGATACCGCGATCAACGCTGAGCTCTTTGAGAAAGGCTCGCAGTCATAGCGCTGCCGATCCGCCTTGCACAAGTCCGCAAGAGTCCGCCTCTTCAGAAGATAATGCCGCTACACGGCGAGTCGAACTCCACGACTTGATCGCAACTTCCGCCGCTCGTTGATGCACGCGCTTCATGCACGCGGCAGAGTCGGCGTCCGTCTAGACGGTTTACCCCTTGGGATACACACGCGGATACCTACACCTGTCGTGGTTTTTTGCGACACTTGCAAAGTGTTGCAAGGCCTTCCCATGCCCCTCGCGCTAACTGAAAACAATATCTGAACGGCTCCGTGCAAGATTTATGGCCGGGTCCACCAAAGCTTGGTGCATCTTAACTTTATGACTTGGAAGACGCCCCTCCTTTTTCCTCCTCGTACATCTGCCTTCCCCCTGGCATTACGCATCTCACTTCGCGCAGATCCGGGCCCGATCCTTCTTGGAAATATTTCTGCGCGTCTCGGGACTACCTCGCGCCATAGCCCGCGTGGGTTCCTTTCTACATTCGGCTGATAATCCTGATTGATTTCGAATCTTATGGTCCTGGTCCGAGCCTGCCCTGGACCCCAACTTCGAATTTCCTCTTCAGGTTCTCCTCCGAACCAATCAAGCACGACATCGCATCCCAATCATATGCAAATAACCCCAAAGTGCTATTAGCCAGATTCGCCACGCCTTGCGTTTAAGCACACATGGCGGCACCTCCCCGTTCAATGTAGCACGCGAAGTGCACGTAACAGCGTTCCGAATTGCTGGCAACGTCACGGGCGCTATACATTGACTTCAACACTCTCCCGCACATGCCCAGTTAAAGATCCTCGGATAACCCGATGGAGATGTTCTTTCCTGCCTCGGCGCAACAGTCTGCCTGCCCAGCAACAACAAATTCAATATTGAGTCCCTCGTCACGCTTCCCGCGGTTGCAGACTGTTCCCTCGGCAACAGCCACGGAGAATCATAATTCTTGGGCTTCTAATGCGGGGAGGCTGCAAATGTGCCCCTTGCAATAGTGAGTAACCTGCTGTTCCACCCGCCTGGATTGGCACTCGGGACTGGCCTCGCCCCCCTCGTCGATGTCGACCCGCCGCGCACCCATTGGTGCCTTACCGGCAAGGGCCCTACAATCCTCTTCCTCGACTTGTGCGTAGACCTCATATTTCCTGAATTGCCCGATCAACCTCCCAAGCATCGAATAAAAGTTCTGGGTCGCGCGCGCACCCCGGTAGATCGCCCCGAGCCCTCGCCCTGCCATTGTGGCGGTCACCCACGCATATGTCCTCTCGGCTAATGGGCCCCACTTCATCAACGCCCCCAGGTGCCTCGCAATTTCCTGGAACTCCCAGCCAGCCCCGGCGCCGGCACGCTTCGCAAATCCACTGATGCGGCCGGATATCCTGGCCAGACCGGCGGGCGAATCGGGCGATGGCATTGCGCGCGCCCCTCCCGAACTCTCTCCTCCGCCCCCGCCCCTCGATTGCGTCGCCCCCCCGCCCTCGAGCGCTCGACTGGCGCCCGCGTCGCGGGCAAACCTGCGCGCGCGCGGACCCCCTGGAGGCGCGAAGCGCGAAATGCCATGATCGCGCACCCCCCGGCCCCCACCCCGCTCGCCCCATTGAAACTCGGCGCCGCAAGCTCCGAGGGAGCCCCCATCGTCGACTATCGGCGGCCATCTGGCCGGCCAAACCTGCAAGCGTAGCCCGACAAAGTCGACCCGGACACGCCGCTGACCCCATCGCCCTGCCCCCCCCCCCCAGTTCATCACTCGACGTGCCGACGCCGGCCACGGCGCGCCGAGCTGCGGGATCTTTCGACGCTGGAGCTGTCAGTCATGAGCCCGGGTGGGCCCTGCGCGAATCCCCCCTCCGTCCGCCACCTGCTTCGACTCATCGCAGCGCAGATCACCGTCATATATCTGCGCGTCGTCGCGCTCTAACACCCCCCCTCGGCGACGCGCCCCCCTTCGACGCTCTCGCAGGGCTTTCGACGCCGCGCGTTCGAAGAGAAAATGCAAGCCCCATTGTTTCCACGAGCCCCACGCGAGTCCAACGCGCGCAGCAGGCGCCAAGCCCGCAAGCAAACATGACCCCCAACAAATACGGTTCTAGTCTTTTCGAACTGAGTGCCTGCAGCCCGCCGAGGGCTACGCGACATGGACTTGCCATGAAAAGTCAAGCAACTCAAGTATGGAATTGTCGTCTTGCCTTTGCTCGCATCACCTCGCCAGCAGAGACCCATGGATTCACATGCCCATCGCAAATAACTCGGCCCATGGCCAAACCCGGCATGAGTCCCGCTTTTTTTGCCGCGCCCATAACTCAGACATGCGATTGAGCCTCAGAAGCGCGCGCCTGCACCTGGCGCTGAACTTTGTCACGTAGCCCCACTGCTCTCTCCACATCGTTCACCTCCACGATGACGCCCAAAATAGCACCGACTAACCACTACACCACATCCGCGTCGAAACCCATCATGAACCCTGCGCGCGTTACTATCGTGTTATTCGCTCTCACTGCTCGGGTTCACTTTTCTACCAAGTGCTCGTCGTCGGGCCCGATTGCCTCCTCCGGCGCCTGCGCCTTGTAGTCGCATCTCCTCGTCATCGCCCTCGCCATCTCTAACCGCCCGCCCTCTCGTCGCCCCGTGGATTGCGCGCCGCCCCCTCAGACGTCGGCGGAACATCGCCGGCCCGGCGCCCGTCGCCATCGCGGCCAAGGTAAACGCAATGCCCAGCCCGACCCGCCCACAGTCCTCGCAACGTGGCCATGTTTTTCGTCGCAGGTGTAGTACCCTGTGTATATGTGTTGTTCGTTGTTGTTGGTTTGGTCATCTCTCTCTCTCTCTCTCTCTCTCTCCCTCTCTCTCTCTCTCTCTCTCTTCGCCCCCTCGCACCCTCGCTGATAGGCGCAATTCCTCCCTCACCTCTCCCCATCCCACTCTGAGGCTCGGCCCCCCCGGCGACCTCCTGGAGCGCGCCTACCCCGCAACCCCCCCGTGCTGCGACTCACCGGGAAACAACTGGCGCACCGGCATCCTTCCTTAGGCCCACCACTACCACCCCGCGCACCTCGGCAACCCCCAGCCCCTCCTGCGCCCCCCTTTCCGCTTCTTGCTCCTCTCGCGGCAGCTTCGGTGGCGCAAGTTTTGGCGATGCGCCCATGGCCTCCAAACTGGCAACGCATGGGCCCTATACCTCTGCCTTTCCGTTCGCCCACTTCGTCGGCGTCGCCGTTTCCGCCCGCGTCCGCCACGCTCCAATTCTACCAATTCCAACGGTCGTAATAATTGGAATTATTTACGCCTGAGCCCCAGCCCCCAATATCCTCATCATTGACTTGGCCGATGTCCGTGGAAAACGTGTTCTTCGCGTCTGCATCCGACCTTCCCCCTGGACAAGTCTTCGCGCGCGATGATTTGTTTTGCTCGGCGTCGAGGTCAAAGGATTCGGGCGTCTGCAGCAGCCCCGTTGCCAGTCGTCGAACCAACAACCCGCATGGACCATGATGATGCTCGGCGCAGCAACCCTTAGCGGCAACGGCATCGAATACGCAGATCCATAATTTTCCAGAGACTCTACCGATGCACTCCACTGCTCGGGCTGGCGGGTCGCATCATCGCTCACCCTCTTGGGTTTGGGCAAGGGCCATTGCCAGGCTCATCTCGCGAGAGATCGCGACTCCAGAAACGGCAGAATACCATGTGCTGATTGCTGGCAAGCCATCGCACTTTCGCCTTCGAGAAGGCCTTCGATCTTCCAGCAAGGCTCCGCCCCCCAACACCTTGTCGTCCAACCGATGCCAGAGGTCCTCGTACAACTTGGCGTATTCGCCCTTGTCTATATCATATTCTCGCTTCGTCTATTCGTTTATTGGTACGTGACGCCTTGGTATATCGCTAAGCGTCGTACCCCCAGACATGTTCATGTTGTTTTTACAACATATCATCATCATCGCCATGTGGTGATGCCCCGTCCACGGTCTCAAGATTCCTCCTCGACTACGTTAGGGATTTCCGAAAACCGCGCTTCATTTGGGCGAGAGCATTCGACAGCTGTGCGCTCGAATCCCTGAAAGTCCCCCCTCACCCGAGAACGCTTTTCGACTGCTGAATTGCATTGCACTCACCCTCGGGTTTGTTTCCACCCCTCCAGCCCAGGCTTTGCCAACAGACTGCATGGCCCCCCGCAATATTGGCAACATGTTCCGAAGTGCTTGCTTGACAGTGGGCTTATGTCCGATCGTGCTTCAACTTGTTCAACGGTTCCTCGCCATACATGTTGCGGCTGAGGAGGACATCCATCTTGTAGTTGATATGCAGCATTGTGAGCGCCTCTGCCCACCGTATTGGTACTTAGCGTAGAGCTGCGTTCGGAGAGCCTGAAGTCTCCGGTGGAGCCGTCGCGGCAATCGCCGCGGCCATTGCAAGGAGGCGAGTGCTTCGCGGACTTGACCACGTGACCTGAAACCCGCGGGACGAAACACAAGCTCCGCCACCATGGAATTACGGCACAAACCTTTCTGTTCCCCTGAAAACGACTGCAATGTGAGCCAAACTCTTGCTGGAATATGCCCAGAAAGCGTGCCCCCCCTTGCATGACACATCTGCTATATAAATTATACGGTCTCACTAGCCTGTCCTGCTCACCCAGTCGGAACGCTGCAGTCTAAGACCTCCTCCTCCTCCTCATCCTCCTCTTCTTCTTATTATTACTCTTCTTCGTCTTCTTATTATTATTGTTATTATTCTTCTTCTTCTCAGTATGTTTCTTCTTCTTTTTATTATTACTATTATTCTTATTCTTCGTCTTCATATTAGTATTCTTATTATTATTATTATTAGTACTCGTCTTCTGTTTCTTCTTATTATCACTAGTATTAATAATATTATTATTATGATTATTATGAGCATTAGTATTGTTATTATCATTATTATTATGAATATTCTTATTAGTAGTATTCCTAGTATTCTTCTTACTAGTACTCTTCGTATTAATATTCTTATTATTATTCGGATTATTCTTATTCTTTTTCTGCTTATTATTATTCTTATTATTCTTACTATTATTCTTATTAGTATTCTCCTTATTATTATTATAAATATTAGTATTATTATTATTATTATTAATAATATTCTTACTTTTCTTATTATTATTAGTATTTTTCTTCCTCATCCTCCTCCTCCTCGTCCTCCTCCTCCTCCTCCTCCTCCTCTCCTCCTCCTCCTCCTCAACCTCCTCCCTCCTCCTCCTCCTCCTCCTCCTCCTCCTCCTCCTCCTCCTCCTCCTCCTCCTCCTCCTCCTCCTTCCCCTCCTCATCCTCCTCCTCGGCGCCTCCTCCTCCTCCTTCGCCGGAGCCTCCGCGGAGCCGAGCCCCGCCCTCAGCAGCTTCTCTGCGGTGAACTCGAAGCCCTTCTTGGCGTCTACGCCGTGCGCTTGGGCCAGCTCCAGCGTGCACGAGGCCACGACGTCGAGGGCCCGGGGGCTCATGGCTGGCGCCTGTCCGTCAATGACAGGACGCCCCCCCGCTGTCGGAAACAGCCATGAGGATAAAATCTAAAGATTCAGAGCACCTCAAACGCATCAAAATGCCAGGGTATACCTAGACCTGGGAGGCAAACAGCATGGAGAGGATGCCCAGAGACCAGGGATGCAATGGTGCCTGGCTGCAATGGCTCGTCCTTGACGCTGGTGTTGACTGTGCTACTAGTCTCTCCTCCTCCTCCTCCTCGTCCATCATCATCACTCCATCCTCATCATCATCATCCTCCTCCTCCTCATCATCATCATCGCTCCACCTCATCATCATTCATCATCAGCACATCATCATCATCATCATCATCATCATCATCATCATCATCATCATCATCATCATCATCATCATGATCATGATCATCATCATCATCATCATCATCATCATCATCATCATCATCATCATCATCATCATCATCATCATCATCATCATCATCATCACCATCGTCATCAGCATCATCACCAGCATTATATAGTCATTATCAACAGCAGCATCATCGTCATCAGCATTATCATTAGCATCATCACCATCACCACCACCAACAGCATCAGCATCATAATCAGCATCATCAGCAGCATCATCATCAGCAGCAGCATCAACATCATCATCATCATCAGGATCATCAGCAGCATCATCAGCATCGTCATCATCATCACCATAATCACTATCAACATCATCATCAACATCATCAGCATCATTATGATCATCAGCATCAGCATCAGCATCAGCATCAGCATCATCATCATCATCATCCTCATCATCCTCATCATCATCATCATCATCATCATCATCATCATCATCATCATCATCATCATCCGTCTCCTCCTGCTGCTCCTGCTTCTCCTCCTCCTCCTCCTCCGCCTCATCCTCCTCCTCCTCCTCCTCCTCCTCTTCCTCCTCGTCCTCCTCCTCCTCCTCCTGCAACCCCTCCTCCTCCTCCGCTGCCGACGTCTGCCAGTTCCTCCTCCTACTCCCCCTCAGCATCGTGATCGTGGTCACTACCATCATCATCATCATCATCATCATCATCATCATCATCATCATCATCATCATCATCATCGTCATCATCATCATCATCATCATCACCACCACTACCACCACCATCATCATCATCATCATCATCATCATCATCATCATCATCATCAGCATCAGCATCAGCATCAGCATCAGCATCAGAATCAGCATCATCATCACCATCAACATCATCAGCAGCATCACCAGCACCATCATCGCCACATCAGCATGATCATCAGCATCATCAGTATTAGCGTCATCATCATCGTTGTCATCACCATCACCATCGCCATGAACATAAACCACTTCAGAATCATCCTCGCGGTCAATCAACCAATCAATCTCATCACGAGCACATCACCACCGTCAGTGTCGCCTTGATCAGAACAGCCGTCAACGTCACCCTCAGAATCGTCGTCGTGCTTGTCTTCGCCGCCGTCGTCTTCGCCATCATCGTCAGCAGCATCAGCATCACCATCATCACTGTCACAACCACCACCACCACCATCATAATCAGATTCTCCTCACCTCATCATCCGCATTCCCCCTGCTCCCTCCGTTCCCCCAATCCCTCGCCCCTCCCTCTTCCTACCCCTGTCCCTGTCCCCGTCTCGTTCTGGGTCCCCCGTCCCGCTCCCCCTTCCGTCTGTTGTTCCTCCGCCGCCGCCCCCCCCCCCAGCTCCTCATCAGTATCCTGACGAGACCATTGTTTTGCTGTTATAGCGTCGAACGATCTGCGTAACAGTACCCTGGAGTTCAACGCGACGCCAGCAGCGGAACGATACATAATCGAGCGCCGAAATCTCGAACATCGGAGCTCGATGAAATTAAATCCTTCAACAATCCCAAGCCGCGAGGGTGGCTGTGGGCGGGTGATGAAAAAAATAAGCGAGGCTCGGGAACAAGTGTTATGGACACGGAGGGGGGTTGTAGGGAAAGCTGGACCTCGACACCCCCAAAACTTCTGCACGTCATTCTCGTGCGGCGCACACCCATGACGAGACCATTGTTTTTCTACGGCGAACGATCTGTGTAACACTACCTTGGAGTTCAACGCGACGCCAGGCAGAACGGAACGAAACAGAATCGAGCGCCGAGATCTCGAACCCCGGAGCTCGAAAAAAAAATCCTTCAACAATCCCAAATCTGTCCCCAAGCTGGCGTGGGCCAGTTCACACACACACACAGAGAAAGAGCGAACGGATAGGAGCTAGGACGGTTGCCGACACCGTGCGGCTTAAAGCTTGAGGGATCGGGAAATCTCTGAAAGCCAAGGCACACGGGAAGTTCCGAGACACCCGAGACTGACATCGGAGCCCAGAGCGATCCCGAAAGGATATCCCCAAGCACAGAAAGAGCACAGGGAGGCAGCACTTCCTGCCGAAAGCGTTTAAGAGACGTCTATTCTCGGACGCCACACAATGGAAGTGACTGCCAAGGAAAGGAACAGCCATTCTACTACAAGCTCGCAAGATCCGGGGGGGGGAGACAAAAAAAAGGCGGCAGGGTGCCAACCGCTTTCGGCGATCACGCCAATCACGCGCCCACGGAGGATATCTGACACCAGCGTGCTCGCAAGAAAATCGTGCGAGGCAAGGTGCAGGCATCTCACTTTGAACCCACTCTTACTGGCAGCTCTTCCGATCTCGTGACAATGAGGATCCCAGACGGCTAGCCAGCTACTGCGTCCTTCAGGGCCAGCAGGGAAGCGCGCACGGCCTGGCCCTCCACAAGCACGACCCCGAGACGCTCCTCGCACAACCTTGCGTGCGCCTTGAAAGCCTGGGAGTGACTCTCCCACGTCTTGCTCAGCAGCGCATGTTTCTCGTAGCGCTGAAGGCTCTTGTCCGCCCTCCAGCCGCCACGCCGCTTGATAGCGGCCATGTCTCGGAGGCTTTTTTTGATCCTGTCGCGGGACGCCCCCGAGCGCCTGGCCCGGCAGGGCGCCGCGTCGATGCCCAGGCGGCCCGCTGCAGCCTTGCAGGCGCGAGCCAGCTCGGGGCAGCTGAACCGCCACAGCGGGGCCCCAGGCGGGCGTCGCTCAAGCGCTTCCAGGAGCCCACGCAGCCCCCAGACACCGCGATCCAGCAGGCAGCTCTGGTCGAACTCGTTCACCTTGTTGGGGAACCCCCCCTCGAAGGGGTTCAGGGCGACTCCCCATTGACCACGCGCGGCATTCGGGCGGGCGAGATCCTCGGGCCACATCGCCAGCAGGCCCCCTGGGCGGCAGCATGTGCTCCACATCAGGAGCACCCCCAGCCCCATCTCCAGCTTGCCATCGTCGACTAGGGCGTTCACGATGGCCGCCCAGACGGGAAAGACCTGGGGCACACGGGCGCGAGGCGGCACCACGTTGACCCAACCTTTCAGCGCCCGCCAGCTCCTCGGCAGCCCCTGGCCCCCGACCTTGCCGCACTGTGGCATCACGCGCAGCACCGCAGCGATCACCTGCACCCCCTTGGACGGGCCCCCCCGCGCAGCCAGAGCTCCTCGAAGTGCATCACGAGCAGCGCGTCCAGCCTGCTGAGGTCCACGTCCTGGGCGCGGGCTACACCAGCCCACTCCGCGAGCCCCCTTGAGCTCTCTCATAATGTTTCTCGGCGCGCCCGCACGGCGCGCTGCTCCAGCACGCTTGAGCCGCCCAGCTGAGAGTCGCGCTCCATCAGCTCCTGCAGCCACCGCCCCAGTCGTCGCTTGCCACGGCGCCCCAGCCTGCGGGAGCGAGCAGCCCTACCCCCCTCGCCGTCGGACTCGCTCGAAATGCAGTCTGACGGCACGCTCCGCTTCAGCGCCAAGCCGCCTGCGCCGCGCCTTAAAATGCCGTGCGAGGCCACCGCCTGCTCGACCAGCGACATGAGCTCGGGCCCCCTCGTCGCAGGGTTGAGCAGCGCGCCTCGCCCCCCACGATGTTTCGCCAGATCGCGGGTGGCCTGAGGCTGCTGCCTGGCACTGGTTCGAGGCAGCGTCCGAGCCCGCCTCGCCGCCGGCTGCGAGAAGGTCCGCGAGGCGAAGGACGAGCCGCCTCCCCGCGACGGCACCCTGGCACGACGGGCGGCTGGGGGCTGGCCCGCACTCTCTGGCCCAACGGCGCTCACCCGCCAGCGGCCAGCTACATGACTGCCTCCGGCCCCGAGACTCAAACAAGTTCGGGCCCGAAAAGGCCACGGTGGGACGCAGAGGGGGCCGATGAATGTCATTGCTTCGGGGACGCAGACGACGCGCGGGAGCCGCGGCAGGCTCCACAAAATCATCGAGCCGTAGGACCTGAACGTTCCTGGGGCCGTCGAAATCGAGAGCACTGCCGCGCCCTGTGCCAGGGGCCGATTTACCCCCAGGGGGGGAAGTCACGGCTTAAATCGGGGCCCGCTTTAGCGCCAGACCCCCACCCCCCCACCCCCCGAAGGATTGAATTCTGCAACGCGTCAAAAAGTTGTTAAACTCGCCCCTGGGGCGCGCAATTACTTGGGGGGTCGGAGGCCCCCTTCCTCCCCATGTTCTTTACGCTTGAATTGCCTGCTAAGAGGACGCGGTGGACGGGCCAACGAGAGGCCCCATCAAAAAAAAGCCTCGCCAGGGCTCAGCCTGGGGCCTCGGACCTTTCCCGAAGGGGGCTCGGCACAGAAGAGACGAGAAGGCCAGTCCGCAGGATTGAGCTCCGACGGGGTCCATCTAACCGAAACTCGCACGTTCCTTGCAAGGTTGAGGCAAGCGAGCCTTCTGGGGATCCAAAGAAGCTTGTAGTTCCTCGCGCGGCACATATCACAACAAAGAACGAGCGCTAAACTATCACAGAAAACGAGCTGCCCTATGTTTCGCCCTGGGCGGGTGAGGAGAATACGTTCGACGCCACTGAGAAGAGCACGGGTCTCAAGCAAGAGAATGCGTTCACTGTGACTGAAGGGCCAGCCACCGCGCGCGCGCCATGCGTCCTCTGCCAGGCCCTCGGCGCGCA